CCACTGCAGCAGGGCTTCGCCCTCCTGAGAACCAGGCCTTGAACCCGGACCTCCTTCAGTCCATGATAGCCCAGGCTGTGGCTCAATTTATGGCCTCCAACACCCCACAGCCACCCCCCAGGCCACGTATCATTCACAATCTTCAGATTTGATGGATGATCCCTCATCGGATTTGGAATCTACAGGAGCTGAGCAATCTGGCCTGATTTTGTCTGAGGACGAGGGCATCACCCCATCTGACCCCACCCCTCCTGTCGGTCTCTTTGACCATTCATTCTTCAATTCCCTGCTATTCAAGGCCTGCACTACTGCAAACCTCGCCCAAGAACAGGAGACCCCACCAACAACATCCCAGGGTCCCCATGCCATATACACTGAGCCCTCTGTCTCACAGAACCAAATCCCCTGCCCTCCCCTTTTTCTAAATATAGTTCAAAAACAATGGGAGAACCTAGGATCCCCCTTAAGCCCTGGTGCGACAGAGAGAACATTGTTCAATGTTGCTCCTTCCCTGACCTCCCTTTTGGAGATTCCTGAGATTGATGAGCCCTTGAACTCATTGTTTCCCAATTCTAACATCCCTGGGGACATAAATGAGGCACTAAGGGCAGAAGACAAAAAGATTGAGTCCGCCCTACGCAGGTCCCATCAGGCATCAGCCTGGGCAACAAGGGCGGCAACCTCCATGGCCTTCTTTGCCAGGGCTTCGGTCCTATGGTTACGGGAGCTCCAGGACATGATCCCTCCGGACCAGCTCAGAGCTCACCAGAATCTGGGTAAGTTGGTGGCCACGTCCCAGTACCTAGCTGATGCCTCCCTACACACGGCCAGATACACTGCCCGAACCATCGCGGCAGACATCTCAGCACGAAGACTCCTTTGGCTCAGAAATTGGCGAGCAGACACCAAGGCCAAGTGGCGTCTGGCCTCTAAACCTTACACAGGTGGACATCTCTTTGGTAAGGCGCTAGAGCCATACCTAATCGAAGGTAAGGACAAACGTAAGACCTTGGTTAACACATTTAAGAAAGGAGATAGACGCTGGGGGAACTTGTCGCAGAGTAACTACAGAAGGCAGCCCTTTCGGCCAGCTCCATCCTGGGACTGGGCCCAGGCTTCTCGCCCCTCCTTTCAGAGACAGGAACGACAGCAAGATCGTTCAGCATACAGAGGCAGATCACAGTTCCAGAACAAGCGGTCCTTTCGAGGTGCAGGGAGCCGTTCCTTTAAGTGAGGCAAGTGATCCTGCAGACTCACCTCCCATAGGAGGCCGGCTGGCCCTCTATTCCAACATTTGGGCAGCCACTACTACGGATGCATGAGTGTTAGATACCGTCACCCAAGGTCTGAGACTAGAATTTTGTTCCCATCCACCTAACAGATTCCGCTCTTGTCCTATTTCAACGAACAGGACCAGAGCTGAACTTATGTCAGAGGCAATAGCTCATTTAATGCAAATACAAGCAATTGAACCAGTACCACAAGACCAAGAAAGAGTAGGGTTTTACTCAAACCTTTTCGTCATTTCCAAGACTTCAGGGGGCTGGAGGGCGATCTTGGACTTAAAAGGTCTAAAACTTTACTTGAGGTATAAGAAATTTAAGATGCAATCACTTCAATCAATCCTGGCTAGCATCAGGCAAGGTGACTTTCTTACCTCGATAGACCTGACTGAGGCATATTTGCACATCCCAATTTTTCCTGGACACCGCAAATTCCTCAGATTCAGTTATGCCCGACGCCACTACCAGTACAGAGCCCTTCCATTTGGCCTCTCATCTGCACCGAGAGTATTTACAAAGGTACTGGCAGTGATCGCAGCCCACCTTAGACAAATTCCCATCAGACTTCAATGCTATTTAGATGACATTCTAATTCAGTCATCATCATTACAAAATGCTCAAGCAGACCTCGCCCTAGCCATCAAGGTTTTTCAGGAGCACGGTTTTTCTGTTAATTTCCAGAAAAGTCATACCGTACCAACAACTCGGCTCCTCCATTTGGGCGCAGTTATAGACACAGACAACTGTACGGTCTACCTATCTCAGGACCGACGGAACTCTATTCAAACTCTTGTACGTCGGATCCAAAGGGACAGAGTAGTCACATTGGCCTCCCTTTCACAGCTACTAGGGAAGATGGTGTCCTGCGTGCAAATTGTGCCATGGGCACGTCTCCATGCCAGAGAATTACAGTGGCTTCTCCTTCCATTTCAGAGACTTCATACCAGCACATCCCACCAGAAGGTCCGAGTTCCACGGTCGGTGTTGAAATCCCTTCGATGGTGGGACTCTCTGGCACTGTCATGGGGAGCAGAATTCAAAGAACCAGACAGGATCACCATCACCACAGACACAAGCCTATTTGGGTGGGGGGCACACCTCCACACACACTGGGCCCAGGGTCAGTGGTCCAGACAGGATCTACAGAACAATATAAACTGGCTGGAACTAAGAGCCATACACATGGCCCTAAAGAGATTCAGCAGCTTAGTATAGAGCCAGCACATCCTGGTCTTAACCGCCAACATCACAGCCAGGGCCCATGTCAACAGACAGGGGGGAACAAGGTCCAAGCCTCTCATGCAGAAGGCCAGATTGCTGGGGTCTTGGGCGGAGCTGAATCTTGCCTCCATCAGGCCGGAGCACATATCCAGAGTGGCCAACCAGCATGCGGACTCACTGAGCAGAGCCACCGTGGACCATTCCGAATGGCAGCTGGATCCGAAGATCTTCAGAGATATCGTGGACAGGTTTGGTTCCCCAACCTTAGACCTTTTTGCCTCCCCAGCCAACTCACAGCTTCCCAGATTCCTTTCCAGGTACCCGTCTCCATCAGCGGTAGGAACAGATGCACTCCGCAGTCCCTGGCCCAGGGAACTGCTCTATGCCTTTCCTCCCCTACCCCTTCTACCTGCCACGATCAGGAAGATTCTTCGCGAACAAGCAGAAGTCCTCCTGATCGCCCCACATTGGCCGAGACGATTTTGGTTCGCCGACCTGATGGAGCTCTCCTCATCCCCTCCATGGAGGATTCCAGCCACTCAGATCTCCCTCATTCAGGGGGAGCTACGTCATCCGGATCCTCAAGGGCTCCAGTTAACTGTCTGGCACTTGAGAGGCAGGCCTTAGGCCTAGACTCATATTCATCAAGGGTCATAGCCATGATCCAGCAATCCAGGCGACCCTCGACGAATAGAATATACGATGCCACGTGGAAAAGCTTCTGTAATTGGTGTTTAGCTCACAAAATTGACCCTTTGCAGGCTTCAGTGCCAATCATCTTGGAGTTCCTGATGGATGGTCTGGACAAAGGGCTTTCCACAAGCACCATCTGTAGGCAGGTAACAGCACTCGCCATGGTTATTTCCTGTGGCAATGAGTCCTTAACACAGCACTCTATGATACGCTCCTTCCTAAAAGGAGCTAACAATGCCAGACCACCAACTGTACATAGATACCCCTCCTGGGACCTTCATCAGGTTCTACAGGCTCTTGTATCACCACCCTTTGAGCCTATTGACACTGGTTTGCTCAAACATTTATCAATGAAGGTAGCATTTCTGGTTGCTGTAACTTCAGCCAGAAGGATCTCTGAACTGGCTGCCCTGTCAGTGAGGAAGGACCTGTGTATTTTCCATAGGGACAGGGTTACCCTCAGGTTAGATCCCTCCTTCGTACCCAAGGTCAACTCCTTGTATCATAGATCCCAGGACATAGTTTTGCCAGACTTCTGCCCGAACCCATCTAATGACATAGAGGTTCAGTGGAACAGATTGGATGTGCACAGGGCCTTATATTGCTATATACAGAGAACCTCATCCTTCCGCAAGACTGAGGCTCTGTTTGTGTCATTTCACCCTTCGTCATTAGGACAAAAGGTTTCCTCACCCACTATAGGCAGGTGGATTAGAGCTTGTATTTCTCTGGCATACCAGACTCAGTCACTACAAGCTCCCAGGCATATCACGGCCCATTCCACCCGGGGCGCAGCCACTACAGCAGCCTGGTCTACCCAGGCATCCATAGAGGAAGTTTGTAGGGCAGCAACATGGGCATAGCCCTCCTCCTTTGTCCGTCACTACAAGATGGATATATATGCATCTTCTACAGCTTCATTTGGCCACAAGGTTCTAGAACACGCATTAACTTTGGATGGGACCCAGGCCCAATCTAATTCCCCACCCTAGGGACACAGGGCTTTGGTATGTCCCATCCGTGGGTTCTCCATCCAATCATGCTGGAGAAAGGGACGTTATCTTACCTGAATGCCTTTTCTCAGCATGATGATGGAGAATCCACTCCCTCCCATTAGGTCAGTAGGCCTGGTTCCCATTTGTTCAGACGCGTCGGACTAAAGTCTGGGTATCGCCTTACCCTAAAACTGGGGTGCACTTGGCACAGACGGGGCGTTGCCAATTTCAGACTTAGTCTAATTGGAGCAGATAGATTAAGACAACCCATCCGTGGATTCTCCATCATCATGCTGAGAAAAGGCGTTCAGGTAAGACAACGCCCCTTTCTACACATAATTTTGAACCAAAGGAGAAATCTGGAAACAAAACATTTTGCCTTGAACGTCAATAAAACATTATGAATCAATAAAATACATTTAATGATGAGCTTTGGCAACATCATTCTGCAAAAGAATTGAAAGTTGAAATAGAGCCAAAGATGACAAATAAAAGAGAACAATATACAGTATGCATCATTCTTGCACAATTTGGCTGCAACTATGCCTGTGAATTATAGCTGGAATCAGGATGGATTTGCGATTGGTCATCTAGCCAAACATTTTTTTTGATATTCAGGCAATCATTGTAATGTCTTCATGGCTATATCACATTGTGTTAAATCTGTTACACTTTATTATGTAGCCATCCTGTCTGTTAGAAATGGTTTCTGTTTCACAGCTATAAATTACCAATACCTGCACATGAATACACATGAATATATATATAATGAATTTTTGCACTGAATTGTTGTAGAATGTTTTCATACCTTTATGGCAGTAGAAGCAATCTGAATATGGTGAAGTCTTCTCAGCGTGCTGTCCCTGTCAATAAAGTAAGAGGCCGCCAATTGGTGTAGTGTTTCCAGATTCACTGTGGTACTGTTAATGCTGGGATCACTTGTTTCTGATCTCTTACTCAGCTTCCGCTTGTCCACAAAAATTGTGAGAGACTCTTCTCCTGTGCAAACAATACCACAAAAAAAGTCAAAGAAGTTTACAGCACTCATTTTGTCTTTGTTTTTTTAATAGCATAACTAGCATTAATCCTAGCATCTCATTTGCAAGGAACTGGCTAGAAGTAGGAGCTTTGGCACCAAAAATATCTAGGTACTAAGAGGACAATTTTGTTTAGTTTGCATTTTGAACAAAACCAAAAGAAAATTGTCCTTTGAAATTCACATTTTTCTATAATGTTTACTACTTTTCACACTTTAACATTGCTATTCACCAATAAAAATAAAGGCATACTAAAGAAGGTATACACAAAATGTTTATATTAATTAAAGTAATATATCAATTGTTTTTTATTATAGAATGACAATACAAAAAATGAGTATATGTGATAACAATGCACACCAAAAGCATGTGTTCATATACATAAGGATCATTTTTTGGGATATTGTTTGCTTTGCACCACAAGCTAATGCAGATATGAAGTGAACATGTTGACATATTCATATCCATTGGTTGCAGATTCTGTTCATAATACCTTCAGTTAGTCAGATTCTGGAAATAATGTTGGAAATTACTCTTATTTAAAGCCTAACAGAATCAATAACAAGCTAAAATAAGCTATTGCTCAAATCTAACTACCTTTAAATATTAATAGCTTTATTTTATACTCTTCATCTATGCTGTGTAGAAAGAAACAAAGTAAAAATTGAATAATAGATCTTCAAGAATTACATATTAAAATCAACAGAGAAATTAATGTAGAATCTAATGTAAAACTGTGAAATAATTACTGCAAATTAAGATTTGAATGTAAAATATATATTTGTAATTTAAAGAACTATTCACAGGGAGGGAGGGAGGGAGGGAGGGAGGAAGGAAGGAAGGAAGGAAGGAAGGAAGGAAGGAAGGAAGGAAGGAAGGAAGGAAGGAAGGAAGGAAGGAAGGAAAATTAACAGAGAACAGCAAAAGGACTGGATAAATTATTCTACAGCCTTACTTATTTATATTTATTTAATTGTTCTTAAAACAGTATTAATAACAATTCTAGAGAATTTTGCTTCACTAGCCCTAAGCAAAACTGAAGTATATGTGTGTGTGTGTGTGTGTGTGTGTGTGTGTGTGTGTGTGTGTAGTTTTTATAAGTCTCACTCACAGGAAAAAGAAATTGCCATGTAATTCAATAATTGGGTCACGACTATCCAGAATGATGACCATACTCTAATAATGATATTCTTGTGGACACAAATTCATAACTAGAAAGATTGCCATTCATATGGCAGACCAACCTTCTCATTACCTTTGGATTGTGCAAGCTACCCTTCAGTTAGGATTAATTCTTCACAGATATAATATTTATGTTGGCAATTTGCAGTGAGTAAGGGAAATGACCATGACAGAAATATGCAAGATTCTATTATTATATCTCAATAAAGCATTGTTCTAATCTTCCTATGGGGCTGATTTTCTGGTCTGGTCTACCTAGTGGAACTAAAACATTGTGGATTCTTAAGACAGTATTTGCTTTCGCAACTCTGGAGAGATGTTGAAGATTTAAGACAGACTTCTTTTCAATGTATAAATAACATGTGCTTTGATGTTATCCTATCTGTCAGCCCCATACCTGAGCCTGCATGACTGGCTAATTCCTACACTGAAAGAAGAAAAAAGCATAACAAAATGACACGTTATGTCATAAAGTTATGATGAGAGCAGACAGAAACTAGAACTGTGGTTTTGTTATGCTTTTTTTTTAACCTGATTTTCTTGATCTGGATAGGAACTGAAATAATGAGCCTATATAGATTTATTCAGAAGTAAGTCTCATGGTACTTCTTTTCAAGTAACTTGCCTTTGCCCATATTCAATAATTTCATACATATATACAGATCATACACATATACACATACATATCATACATCTATCTGTCTATATCTGTCTATCCGTCTATCCATCCATCCATCCATCCATCCATCCATCCATCACAATTTAATATTTATGTTTTCAATTGAAATTCAACCTGCACATTTTTATTCCTGCAACTTGTCCAAAATACTCAGAGAGTAGGAGAGTTCCTCTATTCATTTTTATTTTAAAGAATTAATTAATTTAAAGAATTAACAGAAATGAATTGTCATGCTGCATCATTTCAGAAAGAGCTGAAGAAGAATTAGGAAACAGCAAGTTGCAATACTGAATTAAATTCATAAAGATCTTCGGATTGGCTATAGGAATTAGTTCAATAAAGATGCAAATTATAAGGCCCTGTATTGAAGGCATTAGTAAAATAAGCTGACAGCTTTAGCTAAATATTCATAAATATGATTTGGGAGCCTATATTTATATTGTGCAGAATAATAGATGTTCTGGTGATTGAAACATTTGGAATTGTTTTCTGTTTTTGTTTTTCTTTTGCTTTAATGTAGACATATTTCTGAAGCCTGTCTTCTCATTCTGTAAAGTTATTAGTGATGCAAGGAACATAAATTGCACAAAAGGTAATTATCCATTTTGGGGAAGCAGCTAGGCAAAATATATTGGCCACATTTATGAAAGCATGAGTTACCTAACAAAAGTGTGTTTTGGAAAGTCAAAATCTGCACAATGCTGGATGTAATGTTGCAATACATATCCTGCCTCTTTTGTACATGTATTAACATCATAGACCTGTACAAAAAGGTCATGGCTTGGGTAGTAATATCACATCTGCCATCTTCAAGATTTTAGCACACTTCGGGTGCTGTTCTGCACAATACAAAAATATTTCTCCCTCTAATTCAACATTTATTATACTACAGTTGTGTATTTCTATTTTATTCCATTGCAAATATTCAGCTGAATTTTACTGAAATAATCAAGTCCATTAGGAAATACTATGAACTATGATTTGCAATTCTTTTGTATATCAGACATCTTTAATCTTATATAAAACAAGAGAATTATGAATAGAAACCTTTAATAGGTATTAGAATTCATTTGGCTAAACTATACATTAAAAGGGGGGGAGAGTCATAGATTTATTTTATACCCAATTGTTATAATTTGCCAGGGCAGACTCCCCAATCCAGAACTGCACTTATGATGATGTTTTTTGTAGCATTTATTAGAAATGGGTAATTTGCTATTAAGACTGGCTGGGTCAAAAGGTGTATGTTGTATTGTATATGAAAACAAATTAAAACTTGTCTTACTTAAAAATAATTTGCAAAGGCATAGAACTAACAATAACTTATGATTGTAAGATGCCCAAAGTTACCACGGAGTAAGTAGGGTGGCCAATACATTTTATAAATAAAATAAATAAATAACAGTAGAGAACAAATGAATAATATGTGAGATATTGACATGATCTAACTTTAGAAAGCCAACTCTCCAGTTTTATAAATTGTTATTCATAATTATAAACTAGACTAACCTTCATGAATATGATAGCATACAATGAATTGGATATATAAATAGACAGACAGATGGATAGATAGATAGATAGAATGTTAATATGTACTATATACTACAACATGTCCATTTTATTGAAAATTAAACTGTTCCTAGGACAGGTGGAATGTTTGCCAGATACGATCTATAGTTTAAAGGCCTAACTCTTTGTTTTACTTTCAGTACAAAAGTTTATTGGCTTGTGTACTTAAAAATATTGCATTTCAGTTGAAACAACATTTAACAAAAATCTTAGTCATGAAAAATCACCATAGTCAAATAAATGCCATTGGCTGTATTTCCTCAAAGTAGCTTTAGAAACAAAAAACAACAAAATCTTTTCTTAAGTTTCCATGGGCAACCGTCTTCGGTGCCCATATATACAGAGATCCTGGGAACATTTTAGAGGTCCTTTGGTTGTTCAAGGGACACAGAAATGGCAGAGGCAAATCAAATTAGAGTATATCCGTTTGCCAAGCTGGCTTTCTTGCCTGTGAATATAAATGTTTGGCAGCACTACTAAAGAACACAAAATGCAGCAGTGGCATTCTCCTTTCTTACTGACAAGGTGTTGAAAATATAGGTACCACTGGAGGAAAGTGGTACCTATATTTGGGGAAACCATTTTTTTTTAAATCAAATCTTTAAAAAGCAGAGCACAAGGGATACAGTGTCTGCATTTGAGGCAGGTCAGTCTCATCTATAATAAACCCTCAGAGAAATGATTCGATTCAATACCTGATTCATACAAAAGACACAGCTCTTTACTGTAATTAACTCCCACTCAGGTGTCTCATTTCTTATTGATGTGGATACCTATTATGACAATTTTTTTTCACTATTTTAATGTTGACTTTCAAGTGTTCCACATTCCAGTGAACTGTTATGTATAGCTGCATACTGGATATCAAATATTGCTGTTCCTAGAGACCAAATGTCAATAAAATATATCAAGAATATTTGACATCTATATAAACATTTATTTGAGAATACAGAGAATATTTGAAGCCCTAATCCCAAGATTAAGTTCTGATACCACCTTACTGTTTCTGAAGAAATCTGAATCATGTAATTAAATAAATGGAACAGAAAGTAGGCCGCCCACCATAATCTTGATTCAGGAGTCCAGACAGTTCAAATGAATATGTAGGTTAATTGCAAGCTCATGCTCTCTACAAGAATCCAAACTACTAACAGTCAAAGCAAATTGGCGGTAAATAAGAGTCAACAGTATTCAAGGTGCACTGGACAAGATCTCTTGTGGGTGCAAAGAAACTCACGATTGATGATGCATTTGACCCCTTCTTCACGCTCAGCCTTGTTATTTCCTACACAAATATTTTTGTGAATAATTTTGGCATAATTTCATCTTGAGGTAGCAAACACAGCTATAGTAATGTTTGAAAGCATGTCAAATTAAAGACATGCATACCTAATGATACCAAATTGGTCACTTCATTTTAAAATTTAGTCCAGAAGATCCACTGAATTATATAGGAGTTACTATCAAGTCAATAGGCAAAAGATTATAAGATATATATAATGCATATATAAACATGCATTTCTAAGAACTAA